TCAGTAGGCCTATAGCGTATATAGTTTGGTAAAAGCTGTTCATTCATTCACACACAGAAACGCATATTTAAACAGTATTTTTGCGGTTTACATAGGCTATTCCATATCGCGATTACAGCAAAGCACTTAATAAAAAACTTACTACATCAGCTTGATCCGTTGCTCCTCGAAATGAATTTAAAACAGTGGTTCTTAACAAATTTCCCAGGATTATTCCTCACAGCTTCGCAAGACGACATAAAGTAGGCTACTGTAATCTGATTAAACTTGTTGTTTTATCGAGTTGATGTGTGGGCGTTGACAGGTTTGCATGGATCGCCTCAGATCATTTGCGTTTGAATAGCGTGCGCTCTCCGTGTGGGCTGTCCTCTCTGTATGACCAAAAATGACGGAGTATTTTATTTTGCTGCTATGTGAAAAAAAATCGAGCGTTTGCCGACCCCAGAGGTTTAATCATAGCCAGGTTAAATGTTTTTGGTACGTATCCTAGTGACAAAGATGAATTAATGAAATTAAGAAGAGGATCTATGACCTCTGGAAGCATCTCTTTTTCAATAGCTTAGTCGGTATAGGGTCTAACATACATGTTGTTGATTTAGATGATTTAACGAGTTTAGAAAATTCTTGATTTCTTGATAACAATCCCTGATGCGATGTTATAGTAGACGGTTGCATAGCTATAATTTTCTCCCTGATATCAATCTTATAAGTGAAGAAGGTCATAAAGTCGTTACTGTTGTGCTGCTTGGAAACTTCTGGGCTTGAAGCTTTCTGTTTCATTAGTTTAGCAACTGTTTCAAATAAATACCTAGGGTTTTGTTTATTTTCTTCTAATAGGGTTGAAAAATAAGCAGATCTAGCAGCTTTTAAGGCCTCTCTGTATGCAATCAAGCTCTCCTTCCATGAGGATTGGAAAGCAAGATGGCGCCGGTGTATGTGGCCTGCCGTCTGTTCCTTGGCGTACTTGTCTTCGTTTCGTTTTCTGTTCTAAGTTCTACTGTTATGAGTCAACCAGCTGTGTTAACCTATGATCGTCAAACTTTACTCAACATTAAACCTTCGATGGGAGGACTGCATACCATCATACCAGGATGCGACGCTCATCGCTCTCCTTCTCGGTGTCCGTTCCCGAAGTCTCTTTGACGACTATACTGCTTACCTTGTCGGAGAAAGCGTCGTAGAAGACGCGGAATTCGAGGCGGTCTTTTAGTAAAACTGAAGGCAAGCCTATCGACCCAGACGGTTCGACCATATTCATCCTTATGTGATCTAATTAAGAAGAAAGACTACTAAATTTCAGTCAGGATTCAGACCGCATCATAGCACAGAAACTGCGCTAGTTAAAATTACAAATGATTTACTTTTAGCTTCTGACCAAGGCTGTATCTCAATACTAGTTCTACTCGATCTTAGCGCTGCGTTCGACACTATAGATCATAAAATACTCCTGGATCGACTACAAAACTACACTGATGTTCAGGGACAGGCATTAAGCTGGTTCAGATCGTACTTATCGGACCGTTACCATTTTGTCTGTTTAAATGGGGAAAAATCGAAGATAACGTCAGTAGACTATGGAGTGCCGCAAGGATCGGTGTTAGGCCCTCTGCTATTCTCAATATATATGCTGCCACTTGGTAATATTATAAGAAAACATGGAATTAATTTCCACTGCTATGCTGATGACACTCAATTATATATTTCATCACGACCAGATGAATACACTAACTTATCTAAATTGACAGAATGTCTTAAAGATATAAAATGCTGGATGACGTGTAATTTCCTGCTACTAAATCCAGATAAAACTGAGGTATTACTTATTGGTCCAAAAAACTACCCACAAAATCTCTTACAATACAACTTTAATATAGAAGGATGTCCTGTTACCTTATCGACTACAGTTAAAGACCTGGGTGTTATACTAGACCGCAACTTGTCTTTCGAAAATCATATTTCGTATGTTACAAGAACAGCCTTTTTCCACCTTAGAAACATTGCTAAATTACGTAACATGCTATCTGTTTCTGATGCAGAAAAGTTAGTTCATGCATTCATGACCTCGAGACTAGATTATTGTAATGCTTTATTAGCTGGTTGTCCTGCATCTTCAATAAACAAGCTACAGTTAGTCCAAAATGCAGCCGCTAGAGTTCTTACTAGGTCAAGAAAATATGATCATATAACACCGATTCTATCATCTCTGCACTGGTTACCTATCAAGTTCCGTATCAATTACAAAGTACTACTACTGACCTATAAAGCCCTAAATGGTTTAGCTCCTGTGTATTTAATGGACCTTCTATCGCCCTACAATCCATCGCGTTCTTTAAGATCCCGAAATTCGAGGCTTCTGGTCATTCCTAGGATATCTAAGTCCACTAAAGGAGGGAGGGCGTTCTCACATTTAGCTCCTAAACTCTGGAATAGCCTTCCTGATACTGTTCGTGGCTCAGACTCGCTCTCCCAGTTCAAAACTAGATTAAAGACGCATCTCTTCAGCCAAGCATTCACATAATGCTTACCTTTTATACCACTGTTGAATCAGATCGACTGCATTAATATTATGAACAGCAGCTACGCTAATTATTTCCCATCTGCTTTTCTGCTGTTATCTCGGGACGCTAGTCCCGAGGTAAATAGCGTTCGTCAGCTCCAGTTTGTATCCAGCCTCTCACGGAGACTTCAGACGCTCCAACACCTGCGATGAGACGACTCGACGCCTGTGAAGAGACGACTCAACGCCGGCGATATGTTATGCCCTAAATTAATACATGATGATTAACTAACTATATTATTCTATGTACATTTCTGAAATGCACTTTCTGTAAAGCTGCTTTGAAACAATATGTATTGTGAAAAGCGCTATACAAATAAATTTGAATTGAATTGAATTGAATTTATCGCCGTCCGTTCTATGGAGATGCCGTACCAATGGATTACATCTGTCTCAGACTCCGTTGATCAGCCCTGCTGTGCCGGCCTTCCGTGGTTTGCAGACGGAGAGTGACTTCACAAATCTACGATCTCTGCGTCGCGAATTGGATGTAATGAAGGGCTCTACTGATCTAAGGTTTGCTTAAATAAATGTGCGATCTCTGGCAAACAAAACATTTATTTTAAATTACTTTTTTTAAACTCAGAGCCTAGATATTTTATGTCTGACGGAGACTTGGCTAAATACTGGTGACTTAACGCCGTTTTCGGAGTTACTCCTTCCAAATTGTGGTTTTCTGAACTCCCCTTGGGCTTCTGGTCGTGGAGGTGGTGTGGCATCTATTTTTAAGAAATCTTTTAATTGTCATTTTCTTCACAACAGTGTGTTCACCAGTTTTGAACTGCAATTGTTTTGATATGGCAAAATAATAATTAACAAAACAGCATCACAGTAAGAGACATCAGATTCAAATTGTACTTTAAAAGATGTTTTATTCTTTTAAAGGAGGCTGTTTACAAAAACATATCACGACAGCTACCTCGTGACCGGAACGAAAACCCGAATCACACAGTCAAGCTTACAGCCTTTATACCCCCTTCCTCAGCGTCAACTTCTCCTGTAAATTTCCGCTCATCCCAATAAAAACCAGGGCCCGTATCCCTAAAGATTCTTAGAATCCTCTCAGAGAGCTCCTAACTTAACCTAAAAATTCCTTGCCAGGAGTTTTAGCTTAGAAGTAATTCCAGAACATTTTCAGTGAACTCTGAGCAAGGAATGGATGGAAAATCCTATCTTAGTGAGGAGGTGTGGTTGACCCCGTTGCTAGGTATGAGTCATCATTTCAAAAGCCGTGATTGGTTGATCCTACAAGTTTGATGAAAATGAACTTTTGGTGATAATGAGCAAAGGATGCACCCTCAAATCAATAAACATAATTATACACTCTAATCTTATGCAGACTGTAATTGTAATTAATATTTCACATTCAAGAAAATATCTGTTAAATGAATAGTAAGCTGTAGGGGTTATAGTCTAACATTAGAATCTAAAATATGTGAAAACTTAAGCTCATTACACCCTGTTCAAATAATGATTCGTGTCTTATTTGCTCATATTAATATCCTAGCTGGCATATTTTGTACTTTCACTCCCATATGGACCCCATTGAAAACAAGATGGCCTATCTCAAGGGGCTGTCCTTAATGAAGTAGAAATTGCAACGTTACAACTCAGTGTGGTCTTAACGAGGGTAACACAGCTCAGCTTTTATCAATGTCTGTGATTGCTGGCTGGTCTATTTATGAAGGCTTGTTAACAAATATCCTACAAACACAGAAAATGGAGGAAAAAAAGGAATCGCAAGCCGAACTGGACTGAGGAGCAAGGTTTGTTGCTGGCCCAGTTGGTGAACGAACATAAAGGTATGTTACGAGGAAAATTTGGCCCAACTGTCACTAGCCAAGGCAAGAGGCGCGCCTGGGACACAATATCCCAAACAATCAATGCCTCTTTTCCACTGGTGGTGCGGACAGGCGACGATTGTGAGAAAAGGTGGTATGTGCTGCAGTCCAAGGCAAAAGATGAGATTGCAGCACACAAGCGGGAATCCTCACTCACAGGTGAGCAAAATACTATAGCCTACCACATAATCTGGCAACTTGCTCCTGCTGGCAAAGTTAATTTACATGCCGCCTAAGTACTGTGTTCATTGACTGTTTCTTTCTAGGGGGTGGACCACCTGCAAAGCGGCTGTCCCAAGTGGCCGACACTGTCTTTCAAGTCCTGGGACACTCTGAGGTCAGTGTCACCGGGCTGCCAAGAGGCATTGACACGTCAATGATGCAGGCCCTTGAAATGCAGCAAAGGTAGGACACAGGGTTATTCATATCAACAGTGTTTATTCATTGCAGAAGCCATTTCATGTGTTATCCATGCTCATTGTATTAATTTAATCAAAACAATAATTAAACTAGGCCTATGTATTTCTGTAGCATGGAGCCATCACAAGAACTGGGCCCATCAAGTTTGCCGACAAGATTGCCGCCTGAACCATCTGCAGCTGCTACTCAGGATAGCCTGGCGGATCAAACACCATTCCCATCCGCAGCACCTGCTCCGTCAGCATCCCTGCAGGAGAGAAGATTGCAACTAACAATTGATGTGTTTGAACAACAAAAAAAAGTCCTTTCCCTTCAGGAGGAGTACTACCGCCTTAAAATTGAACACCTAAAAAATAAACCATTTAGAGATTGTGTTCTGTGTCTTGCATTTAACAATTGCAGGTGATGTGCAGTAAAACTGTGGTAGTTCTTAATACCATCACAAGTTCTCAAATGACATGGGGCTACAGCTTGCCTGTAATGTAAATTTGTGAAGTTTGCCCTGTAAGGCAGTCCACTCTGGGCTAGGTTCCCCTGTGGAATGTGAATATCTTCTTCACCACCATCCTCATCGTTATCTTCATCCTCATCGCCATCCTCCAGAGGTTCTGCAATCTGTCTAACCTTGCAAATATTGTGTAATATTGCACAGGCTATGATGACTTTGCTAACTTTTTCAGGCCTCAGCCGCACCTCTCCGTGGAGAACATGAAAGCGCCTCTTAAGCTGGCCTATGCCACACTCCACCACCACTCTTGTTGTCTTGTGGGCCCTACAATAGAATACAGACCTTTAATTATTTGATGGAAATATTGCACTACTTGGATGCTCTAACATATTGCTTGCATTTTATTTCCATGATTTTTGTATTGTTTGGCTTACCTGTTATAGTTTAGTTGGGGCCCTTGGTGTAGCTGGAGGTAAGGTGTAAGGAGCCATGGTTTGCATGGGTAGGCACTGTCCCCTAACAAGTGGCAATTAGCTGGCACATAGCGTCTCTCAAAAAGCTGTCTGATGCCACTCTCGGAGAGCATTCTCGCATCATGTGTGGAGCCTGGCCATTTAGCCACAATGTCCAAAATCTTACAGGCCGCATTGAACACTATTTGCACATTGATGCTGTGGAAATTCTTCCTGTTAACAAAGACAGCCTCGTCCTCTGATGGCGCAATTATTCTCACATGTGTTCCATCAATTACACCCACAACGCCAGGGAATCCTGCAATGTCCAAAAATGCCCTTTTATGTGTGTGTAAAGTGCGGGCATCCAGCGGGAATGAAACAAATTGTGTCACAATATTAGCTTGTGACAAAGCTGTCAGTGTTTCGGTGATGACTCTGCTGACGGAGGTTCGGGACAGACCCAAGTCATCACTGCTGCATTGTTGCATTTTCCCTGTTGCCAAATACCTCAGGGTTGTGATTACTTTCTTCTCCGGTGTAATAGCATTGTGGCGTCGAATTGGTGAAGTAATTGCATCTCTAAGGAGATCCACCACAAACATGATTCCTGCACAATCCAATCTGTAGCGTCTCAATAATTCCCTGTCATCCAGTGTTTGCAGGACATCTCTCCTGCCTCCTCTGTTGGCCATTTTGTGCAGCTGCTTAGGGGAACTCCTAAGCCACTAAAAGTCCTCTTCCCTGCTCTTAGCAGATCTCGCCTTAGGAGCCCTTTTAAGCGCTAGGAATCTTGAGGAATAGCTTTTATATTAACTGGGATTTTCGTGTCACTTTTAGGGGAAATTCTAAGAAAACGTCATGACTCTGAGAATTTTCTTAGAATTTGGCCGCTAGGAGCCACTTTTTGCACAAAAATTCTTTAGGGATACGGGCCCAGATCTACTTGGTTGATTAGAAATACAATGGCAGGATGGTTTCTATAAGCCCCCCTTCTCTCTGGGCGTTGCTATTCTCACACCTGTGAGGTCAAAAGGCTGGATAGCCCCGTTTGTCTCACCTGATTACCCATGCTAACGAGTTCAGAGGCTCTTCCTGCCCATTTGCTATGTGTGTGTGTGTGAGCCTTTGTTCCTGCCAGGTATATGCAAATATTCCAGGAGAGAAAATACATGATTGAATAAAAGTAAAACCCACACTATGTCAAAATGAAAAACTAAAATATTAATTTTTCCACAACAATCCCTCCTATTTATCATTCAAATAAAATAAAAATAAAAATGTAAAATAAAATAAAAATGAATAAATAAAAACATCACTACTTCAAACCCACAGATGGTTACAATCATTTCAAGTCTTTACATCACAGTTGTACTCTTCATGTCTGATTCTCGTATACCTGATCACTCTACTTGAATTTTGGAAAGAATATTTTGAAAGTAATAAAAAAATTTAAAGTAAAAATAAATGAAAATAAAAATAAATAAAAACTTGTATTGTCTGCATAATTGTGTTCATCCTTGGGAATACCCTGTCATTTTCCAATTGAACAGACTCCTATTCACCCATGAACAACAACATTATCAGAATAACACATTAACATTAATCCACGTCCGTCTCCATATATCACCTCGATATCCATATTTTGTTACCTTTAGTTCAATTAGGCGATGGTTTTACTTAGTAAGCTCTATTTAATGAAATCTTTAAGTTTTATAATTTTATCCATTCATCTAACCAATGTAGTTGTTCAAAATTAACCCTAATATTTCCATTACAGAACGTCATTTTAGCTTATTACCATACTTCACCACAATTAATAGATTTTCTACTTTTCCTGAGAACATTTGCACCAATCAACATCATTGTATCTATATCAATATCTAGTTTGATTCAATTAAATAAAATCATCAAAATCATCACAAAAACAGATTCTTCTGCTAAACTTGAACATTAGTTGGTCCGCATCTTCCTCCAGGTGTGATGATCATCTCGTTCGCCCATGGACATTCCATCTTCACCATGTTGACAATTTGCGTGCCGTAGCCATGGTCTTCCCTCGCTGGTGAGGGAGATCTGTTACTAGCACAGCCTTTGACCCCTCACTTTCTGCTCTATTGGATGGTTTGAGGCTTGTCAGTGCAGTCTGAGGTGAGAAGCTTAGACCCAGGTCTCACAATCTCCAATCATTTTCCACACCCCCACTGGAGTGAACCATTTGCTTTCTGCTGTCACCTGCGAATGGAGACCTTAAGTGATTTTGTTAGTGACCGCTTGTCGTGGATTAACCGCTTGTCTCCATCTCTCTTGGTGTGACCTGTGGAATTTTCAACCTGAAACATTTCACCGGATAATTTCTTGCTCTTTGAATAGCACTCAGGGTCCTTTTTGTCCCCTGAAAAACACTCAACCCACTTTGTTTATGCTTACAAGACAATATATATACATTTGGAACAGAATCAGTTCTGTTTGCTGCAATCCATCCTGACATTCTGCAAAAGAAAAATTTTAAGTTAGGCGCTGCGCAGGGTTAGGCACTTTTCTGCCAAAATAATAACCTAGGCCAGGATATTTAGCCAAATTCATCCATAGCCATTATTTTGTTGGGCACATTCTGCCCTGATTTTGTCTGCTATGTTGCCGCGGCCTTTGCTGCCGCATCTGCATGGCTTTCAGCAAATCCCAGACCATCCCCCCTTTTGATGCACCATCCAACTTGTGCATCATCATCATTTGCCATCAACACTAAACATTTCCTTCAGCCATCTTTCCTTCAGACACTTTCTCTCGCCTCTGGAACAAAAATATTATGTAAAGACACAATCTCATCTTCTTATCAAATTATTTTAAGGGCAATGGTCCCGAGTCTCTTTGTTCTTGCCATAAAATCTATAACCTTTTAGTTTATCTCAACCCATGACTGACCTTCATTTACAACTTCACAATTCCAACTTCCATCAGTACTTAACCTGTTAAGCTTCAAGCCCACTTTTGAAAAATCCCCAGAAATGACATACACAAACTGAAACAGATACAGTTCATGAACCCTTTGCACTAAAAGCACAAGTATGATCTCATTTGAAAGCTGACACCTGGTTGTTTATTGTAAATGTAGAATTAATTATTGTCATAATGAAAAAAACAATTTTAAATAGCTTCAAAGTTTTGTAAAGTTATTAGAAATGTATTTTTATGAAACATCTTCATGAAAATAAAATTGAAGTTGGCCCTGGAGCAATCTAGAAATGCACAGCAGCTAAAGCCACATGTCTGACCATTTTATATTTAAAATCTGAAAATGATAAGTATAAAGCTCTGTATTTAGTTAAATGTTTTTCAAGATCATGTCAAATTACTTTATTTTGATTAGACTCTATTAGCAAACTGATGTTTAGTCATCTTCTGAGTCATCTATTCAGTCTATTGTCTCTATTGTTTTGTGGTGCCCCATTCAGTCTCAGTCTCCCCTGCACACATTGACACCTCTCCAGACTGGTTATTATGGCTCTAAATATGCATTTCTTTTGTCTGCATTACTAACGACTGGCTATTCACAAGCTATTCATAGGGTTTCAAACCCTAATTTCTTTTATCAAAGTTCTCACTAAATATTTGAAACTGGTATCAAATGCACTGAAACATTTCAGTAAGCATTCCTATTTAGAAAAAAAATCATAAAACAATAACTGCTCGTGGCAGGTGCGCCTGGGCCCGCTAGCATGTTAGCTTAGCACACCATCAATACACGACCATTTATGAGATTAAAACTATGTTTGCGCTCCAAACTCACTATATAACGCAAGTCTAGTGTTTTAAATAATCTTCTGTGATCTAACTTGGCTTCAGATAAAAAAAAATCAGACAGAAAATGTATTATTTAGTGTTCTGAACGATGATGAAATCTATATCGATTAGCATTACATTATAAATATAATCTATTATTATGAAATACCTGGCATGGCTTGAAGAACACAGGTAACTCAAATATCATTGCAATCATGTTTATTGTCTTCAAAACATCTTTATCTGCATGTTACAGCGATCTCTGTACTTTCTGTATCACTCAGTGACGTCCTGGAATGTCACATGACTATGGGTCTTCTTCATGATCCATATATGGACTTTTATTGGACATAATAGCGCCCCCATGCTATTGGTATGAATGGAAAACACAGCACATCTCAGTAAGAAGCGATCATTATGATTACATCGACGCATTTGGGTATAAATTCAATAAATATTATTCCTGTCTATAGAAATATGATGTGAATCTATGAGAATATATCAATATTTCTCCACATCTGCACATTGTTGAGCTAAAAGCCCTCAGGGACGTTGTTTTGTGAATCGCTGTCATGACGACAGCACGGAGTGTTTTTTATGAATGGACCGGCTGACGCTCATAATTCATATTAAAGGTATCGACTCATTTTTTTAATTTCATAACTCCTGACACAAATTAAGACATAACTGTCACTATAAGTTTCTCAGAATACAATAGTGGTCAAATACTGAATCTTGAGTCTTATATCTTTTTAATGATGTATAGTTTGTCAAGGTATAACATTAAATCTGATAGTATATTTGAACTAAATAAATAAAAAAACGCTTCAGTGCGCCGACGCTCTGGAGAAGGTTAAGAGGTTAAACTGACCTAGAAAATAATTCAAATCTACTCTTCATCATAAATGACCAAACAAAACTTGATGATCAGATTGACTCAGAATTATCAACCTCTTTCAAATTTGTCATTCGTCTTAACTCATCTGTAATGATCAAAAACACTCTTTCCAGAGGTTAATGACACACACTATTCAGACAGAAAAACTCCTCTAAACTCGCACTCACCAAGACATAAAGTGCAGTCATCATCAAACACATCTAGATATGAACCACTCATATTTCTTATTCGTATCTTTCTTCTAAAAAGATTAACCTTGCGTATTCCTATAGCTTTTTATCTCATTATTTTCTATGGCCTCTTAACCAGTTTCAAAGCGTGTTTGTTCATTATTTATTTGATTTTAGAAAAGTCAGCTGTGTTGCTTTGGTTCATAATCATTACCTTGCTTCAGCTTCTTTGGCATAACAGAAAGGCAGAGAGTCACCATCCTTTCCTCCTTTTCAAGCAGTCTCTCTCTCTCTCTCTCTCTCTCTCTCTCTCTCTCTCTCTCTCTTGAACAAAAGAATGATCTTTTCAATCAGCCTCCTAAGACTGTAATTTAGACATTTAGACAATGTAAATTCCTTACATTAATCTTTGACCATTGTTACCCAGACTTTTCTTAAATCTACAAAACTGTCTTCATCTTTAGTCACCACCGTCTTAACGACCTACAGTAGCCAAAACTATGTTATAGACATATTTGTTCTAAATCAACTCCTATACATTTTCTTGCTCTCCTAAGGCAGCCAACATCATGTTCCTGATTTAAACCAATACGTTTTGTTACTGTCTCCACAACAAATAGTGCCAATCACTTTGTGGACTCGGCTGTCTCTGGAAAGCCCATTCCCATAACTCTTCATCCATAATCTCCATCAGGGTGTTGTCCCCTACCATCGTTGCAGACACTTGTCACAATGAAAAACAAGCCATACGATGAATGCGGTTTCTGGTGAGTGGTATAGAGGAACTCACATTTCTGGGTCAGACTGCCATAATTCCTTACAGCGCACCTCCCCTGAATGGTGT